ACAATCACAACAACAACAAAATAGCCAGGCATTGTTGCAGGTGCCTGTAGTCCCAGCTACTTGGGAGGCTGAGGCAAGAGAATTGCTTCAGCCCAAGAGTTTGAGGTTGCTGTGAGCTGTGATGCTACAGCACTCTACAGAGGGTGAGATGATGAGACTCTGTCTCAAAAAATATAAATAAATAAATGAAATGAAATAAAATTAAGGGGATAATACCATTTGGCTTACAAGAAAGTTGCACTAATAGTTATTAAAAGTTTACTATGTGCCAGCCATCATGCAAAGCACTTGGTATACACAATCTCATTTACTCTTCATGTTGATGCTCATTTTTCCCGATTGTACTAATAAGAAAACTAAAGCTGGAGGGGTTAAGTAACATTTCAAAGGTATGTAAGTTAAGTCATGGAGTTGGGAGTTGGATCTAGGCTACCTCCAGAGCCTCCATACCGAAACCCACTGTCCTCACCTCCAAGTAATCTATCTAATTTCAAAGTGTTGTTCCTTTTCTTCTACTTCTACCTACTTAAACTTGTAAGACACAAACAGATGTACACTTTTGCTTGCTTCTTTCTATTGTTCAATAATCACCTCAAATGTCCAAGTGAGAATCTGGGGGAAAAAAAAACTAATGCCTTCCTGGCTGACTTTCACAATAGACAGAGAGGTTCTACATAGGCTCCACAGCCCATACTTCACTTGTCTCAAACTTTCTAAGTATCTTCCCCCTTCCCTTCAATCCTCTTGGTGGCGTTCCTTTCCTAAGAAGTCCAGAGACCCATTTTAACCAGTTTTGAATGGTGAAAGCATTTCTCCCGAGAAGAAAAATGAGAAAGAAGGTAGTCCCTTGAAGATCCAGTTAACTCACCTTATAAAGCAGGAAAGAACTCCCTGAAATGCATGAACATTTTCTCTCTCCAGAATCTTTGCCAGACTTGGCACAGGCCGGTCCATTAGAAATACATAATTGAATATTCTTAACAACTCAATTCTTCAACCTCACTTTGATCAATAGTTCATTACCTAAGTTAGATCTGCCAAAAGGGGCAAACTCTTCAGCCCATTCGTCCCATATTTGCATGAATATTATGCTGTGAATGTTACGCTCCTTTGAACTTCAAAAGAGCTTCCTGGCCTCATTGACTACAACTTTAACAACAGAGCATAATGGAGTTACAGAAAGACCCTTTCCCAGCTAAAGACCTCAAACCTTGCTGATGCTGGATGGTAACAAACTTTTATATAAGCAACAAATGGCTCATTCATCCACTGCAATGCAGTATCAGTATTTTCTGGCTTCCTGAGCCTGTCTTCCATCTTGTGAGAGCAACTGTAACTATGGCTAATTAACTACCAACAAGTGACAACACCTACCTTAACCATTCCTTGCAAAAAAAATCCTTCCACAAATGAAGTATTTCTTCCAGACCTCTTCAGATTTCTGTCCCAATTGAATGAGCATTTTTGACCATAATAGCATCCCTTCTCATTCCACCCTGATGTCCCAAATAGAAGAGCAAATAAGCTACAGAGCACCCTCTTAAAGGTTTATATTCTAACAAGCCCCGAAAGCTCAAACGCTTTGGCTTCCTTTGGTAAAACGGTGTTAGGGTGTTAGGCAATAGGGAGAGATATGAAAATTTATTACACGTACACTATAAAGTTTTCCCAGTGGCTTCTTTTTTAAAAACAAAACTCTCTTTTTTCTTCATCTACTCCCACATCTTTCCCCCTCTAGAACTAGGTGGTAAAAATATGGGAAATGATATGTCCTTTTATTTTAAGGAGCTTTTCTTCTATTGTAAAAGTAATACTTGCTAATACTTGCAACAGACAGAAGCAGAAAGGTGAATAAAAATGACATTTTATAAACCTACCATCCAGAGATTTAAAAAAAAATTATCTCCCTATTGCATACCATACCTTAGTATAAATTTCAGATGGTATAGGGAACCTTGGGCAAAAACCCAAATTATGACAGCAACAGAAGAAAATAGAGAATGTGGGTGGGAAAGACCTTCCTAGGAATAAGAAATCCAGAAGCCATATAGGAAATGAATGACAGATTGTATTACATAAAATTTTAAAACCTCTATATGGGAAATATAACGTAAGCTTTAAAACAAATAGCAGACGGAAATATTTGAAATACAAAAGGTTAACAAATAAGCTTTTGCCAACTATTAAGACTAGCAATTGAACTGCAAAAATAGGCAATTCACTGAAGAAATACAACTGAACTAAAAAGTAATTGAAAAGATATTCCAGTAATAAAAAAAAATCAAAACAAAACTGAATGATTCCCCAAATAAACTGGCCCCAACATACAAAGATTAATAACACTCTTGGTGAAGGAATTAGAAATGCACTTATACACAGATAGTGGGAGTAAAAATTAATGTAATTTATTTGAAGGGCAATTTGGCAGTACTTAAGATTAAAACTGAACTTATACTTTAACAATTCCTTACAAATAATTGCCTAGAGGTGTGCATTAATGGCATAAGTGCCTAAAGGTGTGCATTAATGCCTTACTTGTAATAACAAAAACCGAAAGTAACCTGAATGTTTACAAATAGAGATTAGTTAAATAAACCATGACACGCTTATGCGATTTGATTAGAAAGAATATGGCACTGGTGTATTGCAATGTTCTGACATGGAAGGATGTCCTACACACAGTGTTGAGTAAAAGCAAGTTTCAGAAAAATGTATATAATGTCCCATTTCTGCGAAAGAAAAAAAAACATACAGACATGTATGTATGATTCTAACAAAACTAGCAAACCACTCATAATGGTTATCCCTGGAAAGTGGAATGGGAGTTAAGGGGCACATGTTCTTTATTGAAGCTCAGGTGTTTTCATATTATTTTGTGTAACAAGTATATATATTAACTTTAAAATTTTAAAAAGTTAAAATAAGCATTTTCCAGGGCTACCAAATTTCTAATAAATGCTATTTTTAATGTCAGTGTGATATTATATTACTTGGATAACTTATGTAACAATATCCCTATAGATTGAAATTTCCACTGCTTCTAACTTCTCACTCTTAAGAGCTGCAATGTAAATCTCTGTGCATGCATACAGTGTGTGTGCATGCACACGTGTGCCTGTGTATCAAGGCAATTTACATAGGACATATGCTTTGAGGTTTCCCCATTAGTGAAAATGGCTTTACACATCTTCAGACATCTTCAAGACAGTCAGCTTGAGCATAGCCATACAGAACGATGCTCAGTGGCTCATTCAGAAAATTATCATGGTTTAGCTTCATTGTTTAACAATATTCCTGAAATACTTGACCAGAACTGGGGCCCTAGGCTGTCTGTTACATAATAATTTTGGCATCAACTAAATACCAAAAGGGCTTGGGACCAATTCACAGAGAAGAGGAAATGTTAGGATGTAGTAGTTTTGGCCCTATAAATATTTTTTAAGTTGCATCTTTGTTTGGTTTACCAATTAATCTCTAAGTTTCAGAAACAATATCCTTCCATTCTTTATAAATGTGGAAGACTTCTCAGAGGAGAGGGTTTTCTGAAGAGTTACAAGCTTCCCCCATGTAACAGGCCATAAGGGCAGTTTCTTTCTAAGACAGGAGGACTTTTAACCCCAGATGGTGGTGAGCTGAACTGAGAATAGATGAACATTTTTGTCACATCATCTTAAATCAAGGTGGGCTTCTGGAAGAGGAGGGTTCAGAGATGAATTATACAAAAATGGAAAGAGGAGGCACTAAAGAATATAAGATAAGAGGCTGATCCAAGCTTCCTCACTGAGATCATGCCCTGTCTTTTGTGTCGTAATCATAGCAGATATAACCATCGAACATTCATGCTTAAAAGCTTAATCAGAAGTACTATTTGTCACAGGAAGAAGACTAAGTTTACTATGAAAATCATAGTGGGACAGAAACACACTTAAGGATGGAATAGGCTTGGCACTGTTCTCCTTGTCAGCAAGGCTTCTGCCTGATCCATTTAACTTAACACTGATAAAGGAGATAAATGTTTAAATGATGGGCTTCAGATGCTGCTTCAGCTCCTACCAAGAATATTTTCAAAGCTCCTTCTCATGAATAAGTTCAGTGGAGCAGAGAATGCCCCTTTTGGACCAATTCCACTTTGTGCTTCTTTTGATGCAGTCAAAAAGGGGGACTAGAGCTCAGGCTGTTCCTGCAAATTTAGAGCAAGTGTCCATCTCAGAGGTGGTTGAAAGTGTTTCAAAGAAGGTAAGGTCTGTACACTGTGCAAAGGCTGTAAAAATCTCTTAACAAGAAGAGAGATGTTGACGGTTACTCATAAATCTCCCAAATGTGGCAGCAAGGAGGGTTAATTATCTCCCCCCGCTTGCCTGCCACTCTCTGCTTTCTCCAATGTGTTAGCCCATCACACGGATCGCTGACTTTCCAGAAATATTCCCTGGCTTTGTGGGGACGTTCTTTTCAATAAATGGCATCCAATTTGCTAACAGTCCCTGGAATCTCAATTTCCTCAAAGGATTTTTCATCTGAATCCAGTTCATGTGAGGGGTTCTTCCTCCTTTTTCAGCATAAGAGAAAAGGCAGAGCCTGCCTTGATTTTTCTTTCTTTTTTTTTTTTTTCTCTTCTATGTCATTCTTTTCATAAACTAAAAACCTTTGCTGAAATTTGGGAAAAAATCCAGCTCATCTGTCAGGTGTTTCTAGAGTTCCATAAAATGGAATTAGATTTGTATAGTTTAGAACAGGAAAGGGAAAAAATAGGCTAATGTGTCATGTGTTCTATGAGATGAAAATTATATGATAATCAGAAAAACAGCCCCAAATTCAGTTGGCCCGATTCAAAGCGCTCATTCTTTTATCAACTCATGCATAAACAGTAACATTCACTTTCTTCTCTTAGAAAAATGGCACAGCCGCATTTGGGCTACATCATGATCTATAACAGATTATAACCACATTTTCAAAAAGGTTATAAGAAAGTATGTATTCTTTTTTAAACACAAGACACTTACGTTTTACTTGTTCTGTTTTGCTTCCTTCTAGGAAAAGAAAGAACAACAAGGAAAAAGTGTATTTCATGCCTCCCATTTTCCACTTTTTTCTCATGTGGGTCACGGCAAAAGGCAACCGAGAACCTTCAAGGCTCGACGTACTCAAGCTGTTGGGAAGAAAGCAGAAAAAAGTCTTAACACAAGATCCTTTACAACTAATAAAGATCATTGATACTCAGGCTTCTAATTTGCTAGGAGAAAAAAAAAATGAGGGGAATTTACATGAGTGCAAGTATTGTTTTCCTGCCTAAGATAAAGGACTTGCCTCTCCTGTCTTGCAAAGACTGTGGGAGCAAATTCAAGTGAATGAGCATGCATGCCTATCCAATGCTGATATTAAATCCTTACAGGCAAGTCATAGGAAAATAAAAATAAATTTTGAAATCCTCCTTTCTAAGGGAATTAAAGTTGATTTCTCAAGAGATTTACTTTGGAAGAAAAAGGAAACGGGAGTTTGTAAAATGGCTATTTTGGAAAACAAAGTAAAAGTAATAGGCATGAGACCTAAGCAATTCCTGAAACGAAAGTTAACTAATCTTAGTTTCAAAACTACTATTATCATTGATCCTTCGGGGATGAAGAAGAAATTGATCAGAATTTCTCCTGTGTCCTCTGTAAGATCTATAAGGATGTTCAGTTTGCTTACACATGTTGGAAAAGATATAATTAGCAAAATAGATGCAATTAAACACCTGAAAGGTTATATTGCTTAGAATGGTTCAGATATAGCCCTCCCCTTGAAGTCCATTGTGAAATGGAAAGTTTAAATGGGTCATTTTAAAAGGAAATTAGGCAAATTTAAATAGGTGATTTGTCCACCCTGTACCACCACGCAAAAGATCATTAGAGCAACTATAATTCTTTAAAATAGGAGATGGAGATTGGCATTTCCAATCTAAGGGGTAGAAATCGTACGTCTTTTGAGCCTTGGAACACAGCAAGTTTGCTATAGCTCATATCCAAGCACAGGTCATTTCCACAGACTTGAGAGATTGCAAGATTCTTTCAGTGAGTACGTGGGAAATATTTAAATGTTCTAGAAACACTAAACCCAATCTGGGTTTAACCCTAGATAGGAACACAATGATTTGTTTTCTGAGAGTCCAACTTAAATATTGAGTATAAAAAGAACTTGAGGGAATGCACGATGATCATTTTGGAGAACTAAACATCTTTGGGCTCCACAGTAGATGCCACAGCTCCTCTTTAAATGCTATAAAGTTGCCCAGCTCATTCAAAATACAAATTCAAATTATGAATATGTAATTGAGAAGAACTGGTCATAGAGAATAATTGGTGCTGTGAAGCAGGATTTGCCGCGCTCTTTGCCTTCTTTATCTCCTCCCTCCTCTTTAAAGAACGATCAAACTCTCCTAGTAATATGTTCCTAGTCTTCCAAAGGCCTGGGTTCTGATGTCTTGGTCCCCTCTGTGAGTTTGTGGCCCACTTTCAATTACTCAGAACATTGCTGTCCCCTAAGAGCTACCAGGTTCCCTTGCAGCAAATCATTTTCATTACTAGTTGAACACAGCTGCACACTTCAGTGAGGTGCCTCCTGAGCCTGCTTTAATAAGTTTACCCCCTAAGCCTCCAAAAGAGAAACATTTTTAACCACTGAAGTCTAATTTATCACAATCATATATGTGTGATTCTGAAACCATAGTTTTCAGGTCTCCCCATGCAAGAATCAACAGAGCTGTTTTTCTTTTACAATGGTTGGGCGATTCGGTGAACAGTAGCATTGCTTCATAACTCAAGCTGGCAAGAAAATGGCTCTTAGAATTTTTTGCTTTTCTTGGGTCTCAACTAATGCTATGAGCAAATAGAAAAGTTGGTGACTAGAGAGCAATTAATCTCTTTTGGTGTTCTTGTCATCTGTGCGGCCTCCCACGCTGTGATGGAGAACATCAGAAAATGAATCGCTTTATAAATATTCACTTTTGATTTACAAAATCCTGAAGTCTTGCCTTTGTATTCTGTGTAGAAATAGGAACCGAGAAGAGTTCCCTCCCCAGGTCTCCCCACCATTCAAGCTCTCTTTATTTAATTTTTTTTCTTTAGGAGGAGATGGTCCAAAACATTTGTTGGGACTGCAGCAGTAAACACAAGCAAGCATTGCTCAGCAAACATGCCGACTTTTATTCTTGCAAAGAGCCAAACTGTCCTTAATTTTTCAAATTATACTTTGACCCAGTTAACTGGAGTTATTTCTGCATTAACTCTCTGTCTGCTTCACACAAGCTGTTGTGCCATTGAACTTGCACTGGCTCTTTTACAAGTTACTTAGAAATGTTGCCATTGATGTGTTTTGGGGGGATCCAGAGCCCCAAGAAAGCAACAAACAAAACCCTGCATCTAACCCTGGGAGTGGGGGTGAAGTAAGAGGGTAACTGGGCTTACCAGGAAACAAGAAATACATCAGACACCAAAAGAAAGATATTTATAAGGTGCCTCTACAAAAGCAGCAAAAGGACCAACTGTTCCTTGCCCAACTATTAACTACGAGGCAATCTGAACCATCAGGAGCCCACTCTCAGAACAGGTCCCTTAGGTTGAACAGAACCAGAGACAGCCCCAAAGGAAAGTTAAGGGCTGAGCACATGTCAGCCAGTTCTTCACGCCCCACAGTGTCTCTTTAATCCTCAGAGAGGCTTGACCGACCTTGTAATCTCACATTCACTATCATCTGTGGGACAGCCCCTAGGGTAGCGATTTTCTTTCTGACAAACAATAAGAAAGACACTGGAGTCTAAGACTCTTGTTTATCAGCTGAACTCCTGGCCCCACTTTACCACCCAACAAGAAAAGCTCAGTTAACTAGTCGCGGGTTGCCACTGAAGATAGCAATTTTTAGCCCAGGGTATCTCTTGTCAGAGGCAATGTCTCATTGCTGCTTTTGAGTGACCAATAATGCCTTGCATTCGGCTTGCAAAACCCCTTCCTATCGTTTCATTTTATTCCACGCAACTCCACCTCCAAAATGGGCACCCGGGGGCCCAGAGAACTCAAATGAATTGAGTTAGTCGCAGGGGCAGGAGGGACTAGAAGGCAGGCTTTCCAGGCCCTGTACTCTGGCAAGACCACACTGTTTCCTGAGCCTGACGTCTCAAACTCTGACCCCAGTGGTCTAGGCCAGAAAATGAGGGGGATGTCCAGAGGACAGGGAAGCCTCTCGCCCATCCACCCTGTTTCGTTAATTTTAGCACATTTTAATCAGCCACCGGTCTAGGGCACTTCAGCAAATGAGAAAACAGGCTCAAGAGACACATGCAGTGATTAAGGGGACTGTAGAGTCCCTTAGGGACCTCAGCGTAGAGTACTCAAGTGACCTCTCCAAGCTCCAGAACATAGAGAAACGCAGGCCAAGCGGGAGTGACGAGTTGTGAGTTCGAATCCAAGACCCCCAACCTGCCTCAGCGAGGAGCCTTGGGCCCCACCTCCATCCCCACCACGAGCAGCTGGACCACAAAATAGGTTTTGAGTTGGCAGGTCGAGAAGGAGTTCGTCTGGGGAGCCTTGGGGGAACTTCCATGGGTAGCTCCGGCCAACAGAAGGCACACCCCACCTGTGCAAAAGCTGGAAAGGGAGGTGGGGAAAGCGGGCGCCGGGCACCGCTCACTGACCTGGGCACTGGCCTCCTCGGTCTGCCACGCGTGCACGCGCTCCGAGCTCCCCGGGGCGCTCCTCTAAGGTCTGGGGCTCGCAGGTTGTGGCGAGAGCGAGAGTGCGCGCGAGGGGGAGGGGGGATTCAAAAGTGGGTGGGAGGAAAAACATCACCGCCCTCAGACCACGAGGGAACAGCGGCTTGCTCGGCTCCCGGGGGCAGAGCCAAGGCGCGGGCGCGGCGGCCCGGGGCCACCTGCCCGCCCGCCCGCCTGCTCCCCACTTGGCCCGAGAGGCCGGCCGCTCGGCGCTGGCGGGAAGTCCGCAAGCACGCAGCCGCTGCAGGCACGCACCCCTTCTCTGCCCCGGCACAACGGCTTTATTCCTGCTCCCCTGACCCGAAAGTTTAAAAATCAGGAGAAAGTGTGAGGCTCAGCCGGCGACTTTCCCATCACGCAGCGCCCCCACTTCACCCCCCTCCTTTGGCTAGGCGAGCGTTGGGGTCTTAAAGGGACCGCACATCTCCTCCGGCCCCTCCTCCCCGGCCACACTGGATGCACCTAAGACTGGCGCGCGCGCTGGAGACCCTGGCTCCCCTCCGACTTCCCTGCCTTGAAGCTCGCACCCCTCTCCTCCGGCGCTACCGCCTTTCTGGAGGGTGCACCTGGTCTAGTCCTGAGCTGGTACCCGGAACGCAGGTTGGGCTGGCCTCGCAAATTATGCCCTGGCACCTTCCTTACCATTTCGGGTCGCTTCCCAGATCCACACTGTGGCTAGTAAAGTGACAAAAGCTTTTGGTGTCTGTAAGGGCGGGGTGGAGGTGGGTGTGTGAGGGAGTTTCTGGGGGGCGGGGGCTTAGAAATCTGCTTTCTCCCACAAAGAGATTTCCCAAGTCCCATGGAAAAGGCCTCTACTCCCTGTTAAGTGTCTTGAAGAGAACTTGGGGTGACCCACCAAAGCCACTGGCATTACCAAGTCCCTACTATGTGCCAGAAGCCCAACCTTGAAATCACAATAGCACTGCTGATGCCGTGGTGAGCCTGAGACAGAGTACTCCAAATTTGGGTTTATTCCATGAGCAATAGTTACAAAGGATTATCAGAATCTTCTGAAGTCCAGGAAACTGCTGTCTTGACAGACAATATTTTAAGCCCCTAAATTTGGAGAACTGCAGGGTTTTTTTCAACATGAACTGGATAATCTCGATAGTCCTAACATCTGTATAGCGCTTTACAGCTTACTGAGTACTTTCATATACATCAATATTACCTTTTTTTTTTTTTGAGACAAGGGTCTCAAGCTATCGCCCTGGGTAGAGTGCCGTGACATCACAGCTCACAGCAACCTCCAACTCTTCGGCTTAAGCAATTCTCTTGCCTCAGCCTTCCAAGTAGCTGGGACAACAGGCGCCTGCCACAACGCCTGGCTATTTTTTAGTTGTAGTTGTCGTTGTTGTTTGGCAGGCCC